AACTTAGAGGAACGCACCTAGTTCGCAGTGCATTGTATGCATCAGCATTTTTAGAGTAGGCCCGTGAACGGGGTACATTCCCAGACGTTTCGCCGCAATCGTAGTCGGCATCGTCAGTGAGTCTCGCCATTCGTAGCACCATATTACAACTCGTCAAAGAGACAAGTAAAGCCCATTCATTGACAAATCGTGTGCTTATCAGTTGTGGTATCTCCCCTTCTGCCCTGAGCTATTTACATCTCCTATATCCTCCTATCATATCTTCCCTGTCACAATTTTTAACGAGCTTATTTTTAATGTAATTTGGTGTGCTCCTTGAAGCGGCATTCATGTAAACCCTTCATACTCCACATTGTCGTTATCACCCCCTTCAACCTTGTGCTGGGAAGGTTGACCAGAGTCTGTCATATTGTTACGTAGTCCTTCCCTGGGTCCTAGTAAAGTCTTTCTCTTGCCCCGTATAATCTGTCTGCTATCACCCTGGTACATGTATTTCACTCGAACCCTGCCCCCCCATCTGTGCTACTCGAGGCGTAATTCGTCCATCCCCTGTAGCTAAGTGATTGATTAGAGGCTAAAGCCTCAGAGTAAGTCTCATGCTCATGCCTTTTCTACATGCACCACGTCTCTTGTAAAACCTAATGTCAGCCAATTAGCTCTAATCGCCGCCTCGTCTATCCTGTTTCTATCTCTAATACCAATTCTATGATTTGCCATGCCCTAGTCATTTGTGTGCCAAATTACAAGCGGATAAGGGAAGAGTGACTGTTTTAATGGACAGGAAACAGTATGCAGAGAAAATGGAAAGTACCCTTGGCGACCGGAACACTTATCAAATACTAAGGGAGGATCCAACCATAAAGATCAACAGGACACTGAAGAATATTCTTAAGGAAGTGCATAATAATGAAAAAATTGATAGATGAATGATTAAATCTTTAATCAAAAATGACGCATGACCACCGACAGCCTACTGACTTCTGAATATACACAAGGAAGGAAATCCGTAATTAATAATAGTCAACAACAAGCATGGAGACATACACAAACTAGCGAAATTCATTTGCTTGAAGCTCAAGAAAGTAAATGACAGATTCTCGAATACCGTCAAGAATTCATATGAATTGTCTCAAAGGATCCAGAACATTGGGTTGGGATGGCGGAACTGTTGGTGAGTTTCGATGTACAACCCATGTACGCAAAGATCTCAGGCGAGAAGGCGGTAAGCGCCTTGCTGGAGATTTTGGAGCTAGAAGAGGACATCCTGGAAGCAGAATGGATACGGAAAGAATCGTTAAAACGATAGATTAACCTGACAGTAAGGACCACAGCAGTATCTGCGAGCAAATATTTGAACTAACGATAGGATCTCCACTCTCACCACTTTTGGCAAATGTGTACATGGACAAGTTTGAAACGGAATTTGAGAAGTCACCACTGCTCATGCGATACTAGGATGAATACTTTGAACTTTGGTCACATGGTGAGGAAAATTTAAATGAATTCCTCAATTTCATTAACGAACTTGATAAAAGAATTAAATTCACAATGTAGGTGGAGGAGGATGAATGGCTACCTTTCCTGGATATTGAAGTCATGCGCTCCAAAGGGACATTCAGGAGGAGACTATACAGAAAGAATTCATATGAGGAATTAATCCTTAATTTTCATTCTCACCATAACTACAAACTGAAGATCGGAATACTGAGGAGTTTGATCATCAGAAGCTTAGAATTAACAGACAATGAGATTTGGGACGAGGAGTTAGACAAACTGACGCGGATTTGCCTTAGTAACAGATACCCCAGAGAATTTATAGAAAAAAATGTAGACGTTATAAAGGGCTGATTTCAACTTGGATTTGATGAAAATAAGATCAGAAATCAGGATGACAACTAAAAGTGGATTTGCCTGCCCTGATCACAACTGAGCCAACAATTGCGACCGTTACTAAGGAAATTGAGTATCAGGGCGATAACGAAGGAGAAGAAAACACTTTCCACCGGTCTGCCGACGCAATATGAGGAGACTGACAAACTTCATTGCTCGGGAGTTTATCGCATCAATTGCGGCAACTGTGAGCAGAAGTATATCGGTGAAACATGAAGAAAATCGGCCTACGAATTAAGGAACATCAACGACTTTGCAAGAAGATGGATACGAAAATATCCGAAATAGCGAAACATATTGCACGAACGGGGAACGAAATCGACTGGAAATCGACAAAGGTTTGCTGCATGTGGTGAAAATACTAGAAGGCGCAAGATCCGATAGGCCATCTAAATACTAACCGAGAGAAATCTAATGAACAGGATAGCTGAAGAAGGCAGGATCAGTTAAAACTTTGAATATTGCCTGAACAAACTCGGAGAAACCAGGCAACAGTAAGATCAGTAAAAATAAGACGACTGTATAAAGGCAATATCCTTAATTTTTGGATAAGAGATCGCAGGGGGATGAGAAAGCAACAATCAGAATCAATGAAGAGACGTCTTTAGTGAGTTTGATCAAAACAAGTAGAACCACGACATTTGTTGGTTGTCACACAAGAGACTAGGACGTAGAAAACGATGGACATGTTATTACGGATAGAAACATGAAAGACTAAAGCTATTTGGTTAACAATAGACTTATTTTATCATAAACGTGATCCTTGAATCACGACTATTGTTAGCCAACTAGCTCTAGCTTCCACTGTTTCTATCCTCTTTCTATCTATGATACAAAGTCTATGACTTGCCATGCCCTAGTCTCTTGTGTGTCAGCCCACAAATGTTTGTGGTTCAACGTTGAACCTAAGCAAAGCCAGCAGTACTACAACATTTGTGGGTTGGCGCACAAGTGACCAGGGCATGGCAAGTCATAGACTCGGTATTAGTGATAGACAGGATAGACGAGGCAGCGATGGGAGCTAGTGGTCTGACAGTAGGTTTTACACGAGACGTGGTCCACATAGCAAAGGCATGACCATGAGACTTACTCTGAGGCTTTAGCCTCTAATCAATCACCCAGGTGCAGGGAAT